GGTGTACCTAATAAAGTGGCCGGTGAGTGTATTTATATAGGGGATCACTGATGCTTATGTTAAGATTTTGATTTATTTTCCTGGTGCAAAGTGCCTTTTTTGTTAAACATTTTTATATTAAACGTTTCTTAAAAATTCAACATCTTTAAGTCTTAATTTAATTTTCTTCATAATAATGAGATTAATCGAGATTAATCTCAAAAATATCTTGAGATTAATCGCGATTAAAAGTTTTAATCTATGGCCAGCACTAATTAAAATACATCTGTATAAAAGAAATCTACAGAAGTTTCATGTCTGAAAAAACACAAAAGTCTGCAGAAATCTGATGATTTAATTTTGAGAACGTGGATTTTTAAAAGTAAAAATGTGTAGGATTGCTGTTTTTCTTGAGTCCTGGGTCAAAAAGTTCACAGGACTTCTTTAATCCGGTCCTTTCCTTCTGATCAACATCCTGACTGAAGTGTGTTAGCATTAGCATTAGCCTCTGTGAAGTTCAGGAAAGTGTAACGCTAGGCTAATGGTAGCTTTTTAATCCCCCTGAGTCAGCAGCCCGGCCCAGGCAGTCCCAGTTTTCAAGCTGCTAATCTCCTTCACCCCCTCCTCCCTTTTACCCAGAGAGTTTAAATCCTCCGCAGCACTGCTCAGTTCTGCTGTCCAGCGACGTGCACCGACCCTGGAGCTTATCACACACGCTGAAGTCGGACCCAGGAGCACTTGACGTGCAGCTCAGTCTGTCAAAAACACTTAAAATCCTCAACATCAGGTGTTGGTTTTTATTAACACCTGCCTGAGCTGCAGAAAATACAGTTACTGTTAAAAAGGTGCAGCTGTTGTGTAAAAAAAATGCTGGAGTCACAAAACTACAAAAACAGCTGAAGAGAAATAACGTTTCTGTAGAAATCCAGCTGGGTGATGATTAACAGAGTTAAAGCTAAAAGAAAAGGAACATGAGCTAAAAGTTAAAATGAGTCAAACACTAACTAAAGAAGCAGAACTAGCGAGTAGCTAAATGGACTTAAAGACCAATTAAAAGTAGCAAAAGACTAGAAGTAACCAAAGATTTTAAGTGATTATTTTTCCAGAATCTGTAAATTTGTTTAGTAAAAGCAAATAATTTCTCTCTGAACGTAGCAGGTCTTCCTGTAATCCAGATCAAATCGTTGTAGCCTTCGTTCGACTCTGTTTCTTCTGTGCGTTTCTGCTCTTAATCTCTTCCTTCAAGAGCCGAGGAAGCTAAAGGTCAGAGGTCACCGGGTCGGAGCTGCCCTGCAGCTTTGCTCGGTTTCTGTCCACATAGGTAACCATCAGTGTAATCKGTGCCTATTAGAGCGCTGCGACCATCCAAGTTGTTCGTTACGCTGAAGTTACATAAGCCCGCCTGAAACCTTTTGCAATCTTTTGCTCATGAGAGAGGTTATACGAATGAAGTGAGTCTGTGTGTTTCCCCCTCCAGCTAAAGGTCGTTTAGTTGGGTTTTTTTTTTTGTTTGTTTGTTTGCTTCGTTTTGTTTTAGTTTAGTTTGTAGCATCTTGTCCTGTGATGGAGATAATTCAGTTCTGAACATGAGATGTCCTAAATGACCTCCTTATATAAGAGAAGGGGATTCATTTGGCTGTATTTTCAGATAAAAAACACGTTTTAAAATCAACACGTCAGAAGATTGTGGTTCATATTTTAAAGAGAGAAGGTCTGGTAGTAGCTGAGCATCTTCCTCCATAGATCCTCTGAAGCTTTTCCAGTTTAATCAGAAGCCAGTTACCTCCTCAGCTTTGTGAACGCAGCTGTGTTCCGCTGGGGTTGTCCCCCATCTGTTAGCTGTCGCAATACGTTACCAAACTGCAATAAGAATTTAATACCCGCATAAAACTGACATGTTCAGCTGCTGTTCCATTAATGGAAAGCAGTGTGCTTGCAGAAAGGCCTCTTGTGTAACATAAGAGCAACTAGCACCACTTAAAAACTCGATAGAGATCAGTGATAGACCTGGGGAACAAGTCGCAGCCTCTGATTCTTTAAGGTTCCCTCTTTAACTGCACGGTTCTTTCTGTAAATCTGTTTCTGTGGGGTCTGTAACGTCATTTATGTGTCTCACTCAGGCACTGGTTGGCCACCTACTTTGTCATCTGGTACGGCGTCCCCTACATGACGTACGACATCTTCGCCATGTACCTCAGTCACTACTACCGGTACCGGGTCAAAGGGCACGAGGACTACAAGCAGCACTCCCTGAGGACCGTCGACTCCTTCATCCGAAGAGAGTTCCTGCTGGTGCTGCACCACATCGCCCTGCTCACCATCCTGCTGCCTATCACACTGGTGAGGAAGACGATGATGATGATGATGATGATGATGATGTCATGTTAAGAAAACTGGGCTCGCTCAAGGCAGCTCTGTTCCTGATAGAGCTCCGGTTTGCTGCAATCAGATAAGATGATGCCTCTTCGGCTGATGCTTCAAAAGCTTCGGCTTCACAAACAAAGCAGAAACATTTGTCTACAAAAGTAAATTAACTTATTTTCTACTGATAAAATGGTGTCATAAAAGACTAGAAGAGTTTTATTTACACCCAAAGTTGTAAATATGTACAAAGCAAACGTTAATCCTGGTTGGTAAGAATCAAAATGATGATCATCACTGATCAGCTTTTAATCTGATCTGCTGGATTAAAGCTGTTTAACTTTACCTGAATGGTTGTTTTTAAAATTGTTTAAGGGTTTTTAGAAGATAGACCGTGGCTGTAATGATGATGTTTCCTGTTTAGATTCGTCATGAAACTACTGAAGCTCTGTTTGTTCTCTTTTAAAATTTCATACATCAAAATGTTCGGCGTGATCAGGACTAACGTTCTGTGACACTTATTGTTTGAAACTTTTATACTTTTTCCGTTTATTTAACTTTATTTGCAAAACATTTCCTCATAGAAGTGCATGTAGGTCTTTTCAGTTCCTTCAAAAACATAATTTTCTAAAATCTTGCTTTATTTTCCCCCTTTTGCTACTTTTAGCTACTAACTTAACTAGATTTTAGCTGCTGTTTTGAAACTTAGCATTTTTAGCTACATTTCTGCTAATGATAATGAGAGATTTTACTACTCTTTAGGAATCAGAGCGATCAATGAATGATTTATTATGTCAATGATTAATAATAATTTTAGCTTTTTTAGCTAAATTTACCTGAATGTGATCATTTTAGCTACTTATTGTTTAACACAGCTAAGTACTCTTTCTGCTTCTTTGCGTTTGACTCAACTTTTTCAGCTACTTTTCTGCTAATTTCAGCTTTTTTGACTATTTTACTTTTTTTTGCAAAAATATTTCTGC